GTTCTGGGCTCCCTTGCCTAGGAGAGGTTTATAGTCAAGTGGCTTCCTGGCTTTTGTTTTCCCAAACACCCAAATTCTGGGACCACAGATTGTCAGGGGAATTGACTAGTTATATCGTCCAGAAGAACAAGGAAAAACTGGGTTTTCACCCTCTTCCATACTAGATCAGGAGCCCTAGCAGATTAAAGTAGAAGGAGGAGGGGAGAAGAGGGTGCTGAGAGAGAGGGGACCTGCACATGGTTTCCCAGACATACTGCTGAGAGGAATGGTTGTGGATGCATCTAATATCACACGTGTCCTCAGCCCAGATTCTCACACCCCAAGTCTGCCATGAGGCAGCAAAGAGTTACCAAACCACAGTGGCTTATAACAGGAACAATATGGCAACAGCTGAGCAAACATCCGATGGGATTTCCGCCCTTCCCCGCCCCATGCATGCCCTATCCTGACTGAGCATGCATTGTGCAACCTGGGCACTTGCCTGGAATTACAGTACATCCTGAAGAAGCAAGGAGCCATGAGGAAACCCAAGAAGCACTAAGGTTACATTTTTTTACCACCAGCAGGTTTCTAGAAAACAATTGTATTTCTTGCACCCTGGATTTTATGGACTGACATTCATACCTGCCATACAATTACTGAGAACCTACTACGAACAGGCATCCTGGTAGGCTAAGTTGGTGGAGGGGGGTGTGAGTGGGGGTGGGGAAACAGAAAAGTCAATCAAACCATGGTTAGCCAAGGCATTTATAGTCTGGTAAGAGCAAATACGCATAATCGTAGTTACCATTTGTTACATGCCACCTGTGTGCATACCTCATGCTACACTCTTTGTAAATGGCTCTCATTTGAGACATCTCCCTCCCCTTCTTGGTACCCTCTTCCTTACAATGGGCTTTTAATATTCAGAGGTTCAGAGTAGGCAAGAGACTTCCCCAAGGATGCATAGCTAGAAACTGTTGGGATTTAGATATGAACCAGAGTATACCTAGCTCCAAAGCCCATTTTCATTGTCAAAGTTATGACTCCCACACATGGAGTGATCAATGTGAGTGTTGTCCTTTGATAATACCATCCATTGGGCTTAGACTTTGGCTCATTCTTTCCAAGAGTTGGGATGGAGTTAAAAGAAACCAACCTTCTCTAATTTGGTGTTCAATGTACCTATTGGTAGACGACTTGCCAGAAGCCTGAAGATGAACAGGAGACATTAGCCATACTGGTTCCCATGATTTTGGGACCTACGGCCTTGTCTGTATCTGTCAAGGTGTGCCAACGAGTTCCTCTAAATAGTCAAAATTTCCAGTACCATTCATACTGTCTCTATGTGCATCAAATTACATGACATAACTGATGGGGGCGGCGGGGCGGGGGGACAGGCAGGAAATACCAACTCTTCTATCTATGTGCAAAAGAAAGAATTTGGCTATAAGTAAAATGGAAACTTTTTTATAGGGGAAAATTTCATAGAACTGTTTTACTTTGAGATGCAGTCATGCAATTTGGTACCTAAAAAGTATTTAAAATTCTTGCCTGAAGCTTCTTAGAAAGAGTAAAAGGAAAATAAGTTGATTCTGGCCAATGAAATGTTAATGGTTTTTCCTTAAGTATTGATCTACTGAACAAATGTTGAGAATGGAAGAAGTATGCATATAAATGCTGTGAAAGAGCCAAGATTTATATATTTTCTACTGCTGCTTCTGATATTTGAGCCTGGGCAATGACTTAACCAAATCTCAAGTCCCAAAGAGAATCATATTGAAACATAGATAGAAATAGAAAACACATAAATATTTAAATTATAAGTGATGATGTCTCTTATTTCTTGTCCTTTTCTGAAGAATAAATCTCTCCCCATTTGGGATATATAACCATTTAACATCCATTTTCTCACAGACAAACTTAATCTCAGAGCCCAGGACTCTCAGAAATCATTTGGCCCAATGTCCCATTTTGTCAATGGGAACATTTGAGATTCCAAGAGGTTAAGTGACTTGCCGAATGTCATGTGCTCATTAAGACAAATAATATTAAGATTTCCATTAAGTGGGAAGGTACTGACCTAGGAGTGGGAGAACCCGAATTCTACCTCCTACTTACCCATTAATGAGCCCTTCTGCTTGTGGTTGGATAGTTTTGAAAAATCCTTCTCTCTCTGAAGTGGCTACAATTCTGTGCATGTGAGCATCAGTAGTTTGTCAGCTTGCTGTTTTTACAAACTCAATAGCTTTCTTTGCAGTTATGATGAAGAGGCAGTGTTTATGGTAGTTATGAGTATGGGCTCTAAAGTCAGACTTCCATCTCTTAGAGTCACTTGTGGTGAAAGCCTGAACAAATTAACCACTCTGTGCCACATCTGTAAGGTGGAGATTATAACAGTACATGCTACATGTGGCCATTACAATGGTTACATTAAATAACAGACATTGGGTGTTTAGCACAGTGCTTGGCACATAGCAAGTGCTCAGTAAATGAAGGCTGCCATTGGTATTTCCATCCAGAGTTGGTGTCTTCAAGTAGGTTATAAGAAGGCATTCCCTGCTCTGGGAAGATGCAGCCTAAGTGCTAAAGCCCACATCAAGACAGGATTAAATTCTCTATGGCTATGGTTCTGACTTTAAACAAAGAAATAAAGAAATCATTTCCTACCCACCCTTGCTGACAGTGACAGCCAATGATATGTTGAAGTGTTTGTCATAATATAGGGCTTCTAGAAAGCTCTTCAAGGGGGGCCTACTTAGATAGGATGGCAAGAATATTTTTGCTGTTTCCCTCTTTTCCTTCTTTCTGCCTAGAATGCAGAAGCAATGGCTGGGGTGTCAGCAGCTTACTGTGATCATGAGGGAAAAGGTAAAAGACTTTCAGAGACTCAGTCCTTCAGCCACTATATCAATGGCCTCCAGACTTCTTATTTCATAAGGAAAATAAACTCATGTACACTATTATTAAAATGCAGTTCCTAACCCATACACCCTCCAAAATCAATTGCACTTTTCTATCAACATACATTTGTAGATCTTCTGGGTCAGCCACTTGCCCCTGGCCACTTAGGGGTCCTCAGTTAGGTGCTTATTAGCAGTCACTTAGATTTTTTTGCCTCAAGGGCCTTGCTACTCAAAGTGTGGTCAGTGGACCACAGGTAGGCATTAATATCACCTAAGAGCTTGTTAGAAATGCAGAATCTCCAGCCCCATTCCAGACCTACTGAATCAGAATCTGTATTTTACCAGGATTCCCAGTGCTTTCTCTACATATTAAAGTCTGAGGTTCTGGACTAGACTTCCAGGAACTGCTCTGTCATCCCTCTTAATCACTGCTGTCAGAATAATGTTACTGAAACATAGCTAATCATGTCTCTCTCCTCAAAAACATTCAAGAGCCCCTGACTGCCTACAGACTAAAGTTTAGACTCCTTTGCCTGACAATCAAGGCCTTTTATGATCTTGTGTTGTCCTGGATATGCCCATCAAGGTGTCAGCCTTGCAAGTAATAGGTAGGCAATAAATAATTTTCTGCACACACACAAAAAATGAGTTTACCTGAGAAACAATACATTCCTCAATTCTGGCTTTATCACAGTAGGCACTGGGAATACAGTGATACCAAAAAACAGGCATAGTCCCTTGCCTTCAAAGGTCTTAGAGACTAGTTAGAACAGGATTTTTAAAAGAAATAAAAATACATAATGACAAAGTATAAGTGCTAAGAAGGAAATGAACAGAGGGCAGGGATACAGAGTAAGACAGGTCTTATTCTGAAAGGATGCTCTAAGAATAGGGAACCTGCCGTGGAGTTGGTCCAGGCAGAGGGACGAGCACGTGCAAGGAAAGCCCTCCGGTGTGTTTGAGAATCAGAACAGGAGCTGCTTTTTCAGGCTCGCCCAGAAAATAAATATCCTGAGAGGAAGGTGGCACCTTCCAGGTACACCTTCCAAGTCACTTAAGAGGAAATGCTGAATTTCTTTTCCCTGACATATGTCTTCACTGGGATCACTGATGAGTTAGAGAGCAGGGTGTGCCACAGAGTCGCTGTGAGTCCGGCCCTGGAAATCGGACCAAGCAAAATTCGAACCCAGCTCCTCCACTTCCCAGCTCTCAACTCCCTTGATCTCCAAGCCTGTGCTTCCTCGGGTATAAAGTAGGGTTAGGAATAGCACCAACTTTGACCTTATTGTTGAGGGAGATGATGCTTGTAAAGCTCCCCAGCACACTGCCAACACATCAGTGCTCACCTGAGTATTATTGGTTTTATGATTACGATGATGATGATTACTGCCGTTAATTATTATTGGCTTTCGGGCAGCAGGCTCGTCCCTGATATTCCTGCCCCCTGAGGCCTCCCGACCCTGCCATCCCAGGCAACCACCCCCGTGCACAGCCACCGTGACCCCAGCGCGGGCGCCGCCGCCGGACCCCCGTTACCTGGGGCCAAACGCGACTTGTCGCCACCTTGCGTCCTGGGCCCAGCCTCCCTCCCGGCCGCCTCCCGACCCCGCAGCTGGCGCGGCGGCGCCCCCAGCCCAGCCTGCCCGGGCGGTGCGGGATGCCTCGGCGGGGCTGGCGGCGGCGGCGGCCGCGCTGCGCGCTCCGGCGGAGGGGAGGGGGCTCCGCGGCAGCGGCGGCGGCGGCGGCAGCGGCGGCGGGACCGGCGGGGGGCAGAGCCAAGAGGCGCGGCGGCGGCAGCGGAGGAGGAGGAGGAGAAGGAGGAGGATGCTGGGGGCTGCGGGCGGCGGCGCGGCCCTGTCCGCAGTGAAGCCCGCGGCGCCCAGGGCGCAGGGAGTGGCCGTCGCCCCCTGCGCGCACCATTCCTGAGATGGCGGCGGCGGTGGCGCGGCGGCGGCTCGGGGAGCCGAGAAGGGGCCGGCTGGGCGCGGGCTGAGTCCCGCCAGCCCGGAACCCGCTCAGGGCCCGTGCGGCGGGGGAGCGCGGGCCGGGCGGCCTGCGGGAGCGGCGAGGCCGGGGGCGGCCCCGGGGCGGAGCGCACGGCCTGGGGAGGCCGCGATGGCGAACGCGAGCGAGCCAGGCGGCGGCGGCGGCGGCGAGGCGGCCGCCCTGGGCCTCAAGCTGGCCACGCTCAGCCTGCTGCTGTGCGTGAGCCTGGCGGGCAACGTGCTGTTCGCGCTGCTCATCGTGCGGGAGCGCAGCCTGCACCGCGCCCCGTACTACCTGCTGCTCGACCTGTGCCTGGCCGACGGGCTGCGCGCGCTCGCCTGCCTCCCGGCCGTCATGCTGGCCGCGCGGCGTGCCGCGGCCGCCGCGGGGGCGCCGCCGGGCGCGCTCGGCTGCAAGCTGCTCGCCTTCCTGGCCGCGCTCTTCTGCTTCCACGCCGCCTTCCTGCTGCTCGGCGTGGGCGTCACCCGCTACCTGGCCATCGCGCACCACCGCTTCTACGCCGAGCGCCTGGCCGGCTGGCCGTGCGCCGCCATGCTGGTGTGCGCCGCCTGGGCGCTGGCACTGGCCGCGGCCTTCCCGCCCGTGCTGGACGGCGGCGGCGGCGACGACGAGGACGCCCCGTGTGCCCTGGAGCAGCGGCCCGACGGCGCCCCGGGAGCGCTCGGCTTCCTGCTGCTGCTGGCCGTGGTGGTGGGCGCCACGCACCTTGTCTACCTCCGCCTGCTCTTCTTCATCCACGACCGCCGCAAGATGCGGCCCGCGCGCCTCGTGCCCGCCGTCAGCCACGACTGGACCTTCCACGGCCCCGGCGCCACCGGCCAGGCGGCCGCCAACTGGACGGCGGGCTTCGGCCGCGGGCCCACGCCGCCCGCGCTCGTGGGCATCCGGCCCGCGGGGCCGGGCCGCGGTGCGCGCCGCCTCCTCGTGCTCGAAGAATTCAAGACGGAGAAGAGGCTGTGCAAGATGTTCTATGCCGTCACGCTGCTCTTCCTGCTCCTCTGGGGGCCCTACGTCGTGGCCAGTTACCTGCGGGTCTTGGTGCGGCCCGGCGCCGTGCCCCAGGCCTACCTGACGGCCTCTGTGTGGCTGACCTTCGCGCAGGCCGGCATCAACCCCGTCGTGTGCTTCCTCTTCAACAGGGAGCTGAGGGACTGCTTCAGGGCCCAGTTCCCCTGCTGCCAGAGCCCCCGGACCACCCAGGCGACCCATCCCTGCGACTTGAAAGGCATTGGTCTATGAGGGACTCCCCCGCCTCACACCGCCCGCCACCAACCCAGCCTTTCCCTTTGGCTTGGACAGTGACGTCGTTTCTTTCCTTTCTGTCCCCTTTTTAGTTTTCTGAGCTGCCTTCGAAATGACTCTCAACGTGGACAAACACTTGGATTGCACAGACTCCTTTGTGGGTAGGGGTGGGGAGGAGGAGGATGGTGCAGCCCGCTCCTGCTCCGTACGTTCGTCCTCCTAAATATACTTTCTTCTTCCTGACGATAAGCCCTGCAGTCTTTTTGTACTGGTACTGACGTCTTTTATTCCATGTGTGATTACTTTTTTCTTTTTCTATAAAGGTTAAACTAATTTTCTTCATGCAGCGTTTCCTAAAGACCATGGCCAGTTTTCTACAGAAGCTATTTTTGACAACCTCAAGTGGCATTACATTTTGCAGTGAAGTAGAGGAACCTAGGGGGACTTCACAAGTTAGAGTTCTTGAGGATCTTCTGTTGGAAGCAGGAGAAAGGGGGTTGGGGGTGGGAGTCGTCTTAAATTCCCTCTGAATTGCCAGCTGCGAGGTCAGCTGTGCGGCGCTGGTTCTTTGGAAGTGTTGAGGACTTTGTGCAGTATTGATATTGAACTTAAAGAGCAGAAATGGAAATCAGTAGCAAGGCAGTCATTTTTTAAGCAGGAACAAGTAAGACTTGGTTCCTAGTTTTCTCTATACTACTAAAAAAATACACAGTGACAACTGCTCTCTGTATTATACCAGTCTTGAATGGAAACATTAAAGTTGTAACTTTTAAAAGGGTAAGAAGTGTTTTGGTTAGTAATGGTGTGGAGAAAATACAGTATTGCATGTGTTTGTATGTACCGATTGTGGTTTGAGGATTGGGAGGGCTCTGAGAAGCAGAGTAGTAAGTCAAAATTGTTTAGGTATTTTTTGCCAATTAAAAAATTAAAATAATTTTATGGAAATGGCTTGTGCTTTGAGAAGCCCAGTTTTATTCTGTCTTATGACACTAATTTCCACTTTGAAAATCGTTCTGTTGTTCATGGTATAAATGAATGGAATATAATGATACCTTATTTCTAGGAGACAAAGCATTTCCTTAAAATGTTTGCTAGGATAAGCTGTGCTGTTCTACTGATGGTTGTTTTAAATTAATAATGAGAACTATAATTTAAATAATATTTCTTTGTTAGATATTGTAATCTTAAACTGAAAGACTAAATTCTGCAAGTACTATATAATATTTTTTGCTTATAATGCTACATTTTTATTAATGTACCTTCCGTTTTGAGGATTTATATCTGTATTTCTCTTTGCATTACACAAATATACCAGTATTTTCATTCTGGAGCGGGTATGCTGTTGTTTGAGGCGGTGACTAATACTAACATATGACTGAGCATGTTACTCACGTTCTTTTCACCTTTTAGTGCATGTTATTTAGTTTCAGGTTTCATAGTTTGACCATCAGTATACCCAAGACATTTAGAGGTTTTTTTTTTTTTAACTTAAAATGCAAGATAAAAATCTTCAAATCTTCTCTTTAAAGGGAAGCAGTAGACATACATACCACTTTAAAATTGTTTTTTATTTGTATGACAGAATTTTAGTTACTGTATATTAAATGACATAAAAACTTTTTAAAACATGAAACATGAGTATAAGCAAAGTAACCATTTTGATAAAAATAAGTAAAAACTGGGTGCAGTGCTATATTGAGTTTATTTTAGTTAAGTATAATATAAACTATTAAATGTTCAGTCCAAAAGGGATTAGTAATAATAAGAGCGTGTGGCCAACTTAACTCTGGTAAGTGGGAAGCATTATTTTATTTTGTTTGTGAAAGTTAGTCTGTGAAGTCAGTCTCATGTTTGGAAAGAATGAATAACAATAACTCCATTTCTTCCCATGTCATAAGTCCAAGTAGACCTCGATATTCCACGGGCTACTCATCAGAAACTTCAGCCAACCCAAAGACATAGAGGCCCAGGAAGTAAATCTCTCCTCATCTAACCCTCCAAGGGATCCAAGTTCAAAAAATAGAGGTCACCAAGTCTGTGTGCTATTCAGAATATTTCACACCCAGCATGGCACAGGAAGAACCCAGCCCATCATGGCCAACTCCTGAGCCACTCCAGCCTTAAGCAGTAGCTCGGCTGCAACAGAGACGACCTGTTGGCACTACATAGCCTTGAATTCAGGGGATATTTTTTATAGGAGAATCAATAAGCCAGAGGTTCTTTAATTCTAACATCCATAAAAATTACCTTAAGTGCTTGTGTGGTCCAGAGAGTCTTACTAGGATGGGTTGAATGAGGCCCATGGGAAAAAGCATTTTTAACAAGCTTCTCAGATGATGGGAGACATACCTCCAGGCCTTTCTTTGGATGTGAATTTAATTTAGATGCAATGGGTACAAACTTGGTTACGTGAGTTTTTGTATTTATGTTTTTAAATTCTGATTAGGTGGGAGAAGGCAAGATTTCTAGTGAGAGTCCAGGTGAGAGTGGCAAGAAACAACAGCCAACCCCAAAGGAAAAAGAATGAACCAAGAGAGATACAACCTGTCTAGGAGAAAGTAGAGTGTAGGGGCAAAAAGCCTCTCGAAGTGCAACAGATCAATGAATCTATTAACATGTACTTTGTTTTTATTTATTTATTTATTTATTTTATTTCAGCATATTATGGGGGTACAGATGTTTAGGTTACGTATGTTGCCCTTGCCCCCACCCCCAAGTCCGAGTTTCAAATATGTCCATCCTTCGGGTGGTGCGCATTGCACTCTTTGTGTATGCAAATACCCGTCCCCTCCTCCCTCCTCCCCCCTCCCCCCTCCCAACATGTACTTTGTTAATTAATCAAAAATCATCAAGAAATGGTTAGTTGTGTCCAGATTGCTCATTGTACCAGGACAGGTACAGTGTATTTGGGGAGGAGTCCCCCATTAAAAATAGCTCATTTTGTTTATTTGGGAAATTAATTTAGCACAACTAAATGAATTGTATACTTGAAGCAATAGAAAATAGATTTCTTATACATACACCTTTGCATGTTATGGCATTGAATTATTGGGTCAAAACCAAGCATTTTTAGGCCTTTTGATATGTCAAAAAGCTTTGCAGAGAGATTATATTGTTTATATATATGTAATATATATATAAATTTACACCTGACATATTCATTATTTTTAAAATGTAGTATATCAAGTAAAGCGAGGAAGTATATAACAAATCAATAACTATGATAAATAATCTGTTTCCCCTATGCAACCCTAGTAAATCTTGTCAGTTTTGCCATATTGGTTTCTACTTTTCTCTTTTCCATTTCCTTTTCCTTTCTATTTTTCCTTCCTTCTTTTCTCCCTCCCTCTCCTTCCTTCCTCCGTTCCTCCCTCTCCTTCCTTCCTCCATTCCTCCCTCATTTTCTTCTCTCTCTCTCTCAATAAAACATGACACAATTATTTCTGCCAAGTCTGAGGTCTCACCATCAGCCGTCTACATTCTCAAATGCCCTGCCCTGTAAAAGGTAACAAGGTCCCAGGTCCTAGGACTGACTCACACTTAATTTTGCAGGTGGATAATTGGGTTGGCAGGGTTGGGTCCCCCCTGTTTTCCCAAGGCCTAGAGGATGGAGGGGAAACCTGTGTCTGCCACAGAAGGCCTTTCACTGTCTGGCCTCTCCACCACCCTGCTCATCCTCCCTCTGTATTCTCCCCTCTCCCTTCTTGGATTACTTTTATACCAGCTCTCCACTTTTCCTGGAAAGCCCCATCCCCTATTTCTGCCTGGGAATTCCTCACCAACCCCTCTAGAGCAGGGGTAATCGTCACAATATTTAACTTCTCGGATGGCGTGGCTGTAACTTACCTGTACAAGCACATGCTAGGGTTCTGGCTGAACATCAGGTCTTTGCTGGACCCAGGTCCAAGACTTTAGGAAGCCCTTCTTGGTCCAGCTGCCTCCTCTGGGCTCCCAGTGTACGTTGTTTACCTTGACAAAGTCTGCACTCTGGCACCTGGCACACACTGTTGACTCCTGGCTCCCTCTGCGGTCTCAGCTCCTCCCACTCTCTTCTCAGGCCCTGTACTTCAGTCACTGCAAGTCACTGGCAGTGCCCCGAACACTGTGTCATATCCTCATGGCTTTGCATGTGTTATTCCTTATGTCCAACGTCCTTGCTCCCTCTTTCCTGGACCTGCTAAGCTTCCAGACATAAAGAGTGAACTAGACACAGAGGGTAAACTCTACAGACGGGGGGAGATTGTCCCAGTGCAGACCCTGCGAGGATTTCAGGGCTCCAAACTTAATCATTAGATCCAAGTGCCATGGCTGGCTAAGTAGCAGACTTGCTGTCCTACCAGCATTCTAAGTTGTCTGTGCACACTGACGTGGCTGGGCTTACAAATGCAGCAGACCCAAAATATTGTTCTCTATTCACCTGACAAATGTGTCACTCTGTGTGGGCAGCCAAGACTACTTAACTTCAGGACCCTCTCCCTCAGGGAAAGGGGAGGCAATGGAAAGCCATCTCCACCCACCCACATCCTACTCCCGTATCAATATCCTTTGCACAGCTTCTTAGCTGCTTCAGGAGTAAATATAATAGAAGTAAAAGCAAACTTGATCTGATTTCAAGGGGTTCTCTATTGCTCTTCCTCCCACTTGGAAAAGACTTTTGAAGTCTAACTCAGCCCATGAAGGGAACTTTCTTCCTCTCCATCTTCATTCCTTTTGGGATATTGTTGGGTAAGAATGTGATGCTTGGAGCCACAACAGCCATTTTGCAACCGTAAGGAGAGACACTGTCAACACAGTAAAGATAGCAGGACAGAAAGATAAAAAAGTACAGGCACCTGTTTTACCATTCTTGCACTGCTTAACCAGAGACGCAAACTCTTATCTTTAGACTTCTGGTTTTGAAATAAAAACTACTATTGTTTCAGTCATTAATATTCAGGAAGCCTGTTACTTGAAGCAACAGGTGACTGCAACCATACCTAAAATCACTCCATTCCCTG